TCTTTAGGCTTCTTGCCCTTGAAGGAGTTAGTAAGATGGGTTTTTTGTCTTCTTTGCACCCTGGCTCTTGACCATCCTTTGATCTTCAACATCAATCATCCTTCTCCCCATACCAATGAAGTCACTTCCATTCTTGGAAGATCTCTGGGTAGTGTTGAAAGCCCATGGGGTGGGGAGTGGGGGTGAGGGGGAGAAATTCAGGTCATTCTGGGTAATCAGTTCTTACTCTAGCTGATCAACTCCTCTGTTCTGAAACACCAGGTTGGTAAATCCACACCAGTGGATTTTTTACAGCCCACTTTTGGCTAAAACGCTTTCCACACTGGGAACAAAAGTAGGTCTTTGGGTTATTGTGGGTGAGCAGATGCAGGGAGACGTGATGACAATTCTGAACCAAGCTCCACACTACAAACAGGCATAGGGGTGCTCCCAGTGTGCACTTGGTGTGAAATCAAATTGAAGGAGTTAGTGAAAGAGCATCCACAGTCAGAGGCAGGGGTAGGGGTAGGGGCCAAAGACTTATGAGTTCCCTGACCCTTAATCTGATTTGGATTAGGGAAGGTCTTGCCAGTTTTCCTCAGATAAAGGCTGATCCAAGCCCTTGACTCATGTCAGGTCAACACCCTTGATCTCAGGATCTGTCTAGTCTCCCAGAGTCAAACTATGACTTTTCCATCTTTATATCCTCTTCCTTGTTCTGGATTCTGATACCTGCTGGCAGATAGGGAGAATCCATAACTCAGATCCTGTTCTAGCCATGATGTATTTTCTTGCTTTGGTGATGGGACAGCCAGTCTTCCCACAGGAAGAATCAATAATAGTTGGATATGAAGCCTCTGGAATCAACTAGGACTCTTTCAACCCCAAGTGATCAAAGGGGATCTCCATGTCCTCACAACTAGTATAAAATCTGGTTCCCATCCCTCACCCATTCTCACTCCTAGCTAGAAAGAGAAAGCAGACCTTCTTTAATTGGGGGAGCTGCTTTCCACCTGATTAGATGGTTTCTCCTATTAGGCATCAGGAACTGGAAGAAGTCAGAGGGTAACTCTGAGACCACCTCAGGGTTAATAACCCTAATGAGATTATTAGCCTAATGAAAGGGAAGCTAACAACCCTAAAATGAAAGTGTGAAACTGTCTGCTTTTATTTAACATTTGTTTATTATAAACAATCTAAACGAAATAACATGGAATAAAAAAAACTGTCTTCAAACTATTTACATTTGATTTATGTTATATATATACATATATACATATATGTACATATATGTACATATATATACACACACAAAGTAATAATAGCAGTACCATCTTATTTGCCCAATTCCCTCTTATGATCACTTTTTCATCTTAGTACTTAAAAGGTTATGAAATTCTTTTTAAAGCATGTAACTTGAAAAGTCCTGGTAGGATGAGTTTACGGACTAATGGAGAGAGGAGTCAGAAAATAATGGCATGTCTAAATAGGTATATGAACTTCTGACCTCTCTGCACGTAAACACTCACATGTATGAATAGAGGACCAAGCCTTTAGGCACCTCGGCCTCAAATACACCGAGGAATCAAAAGCTAGCTGACAATACAGTATCTGGACATTCTGGCATCTCTAGGAGTCAAATGCATATCAAGCAGGGAAACCCTTCCGAGCTTGCCTCAGGGGTAGGGAGGAGAGTTGAAATCCAGGGTACCTAAGCAGCTCCACCGGGAACAGCAAGGGGAGGGAGGGACGCCACGAGTCCTTTAAAAACCTGCAGGTCATGTGCAATGTGAAGTTCTGGAGTTCATACGGGTTTTAAGAAAGGTAGAAAATAAAAACACCTGACTATGATCCTTTATAAGGAACCAATTCATGGAACATTCTAACCCCATGCTTGGTTTAAATAAAAAAGGACCAGGTGCAAGCCAGTCTATCCTAAATCGCAGAGGGTCTCAGGAACTTACATTAAGGATCTCGGATTTTACTTCTCAAGAGCAGTACCTTCTTCCACTTAAAAAAGCACCTCTGATTAGAAGATAGTCTTAGGGGTCGTCTGAAGCTCGGAGATTTTAAGTGACTTTCTTTGATCTCAGGCTAGATGTGAAAGCGTACGGCTCTGCATGCCACGAGGCAGGTGTGGTGGAGAGAGCCCGCGCCTCTGTTCAACTTCGGATTTCAGCCCCAGCGCTGCCGCCGTTGGAAACTGGGGGTCTCCACAATATTCGGTTTCCTCCGGTGTTAAATGGGGAAACTGACAACTGCAAACCGCTCCCAGGGCTGGCTGCTGTGGGGGTACCGAAGGGGAAGTGCGGCATGAATCTGTGCTCTCGGTCCTCCACCAGGCGAGCTCTCTAATTCCCATGTTTCTCTTATTCCATCCCTGCGAGAAGAGTTGGTTTTCAGGTTGGAAATGTTAGGAAAGGGCCCGAGATCCCGGGGCTGGATCCCGTTTCGAGCCAATGAGAAGCAAACCCAGCTTTTCAAAGAAGCGGCCAAGCGGCACCGGAAGTGACGTCGCCACCACACCGCCCTCGCCGGGAGCTGGGACGCTGGGGAGCCGCCGGATGCCAGTGGTTTCCGGCAGAAGCGGAAGATACCTGCAGAAGACGCGATGGTGGTTGAGCTTCGCCGACTTTCCCTGGTAGCTCTGCGTTCCGCTGCGTCCTCCTGCCTTCACCCCGAGGGAGATCCGCAGACCGAGACCGAGATGGGTGGGCCCGAGGGGCTGGACAGGGCGGGCTAGCCGGCCGCGGGCCGAGCTGACCCCGAGTCCGTTTTCTCCGCCCCGGCTCGCTGCGGCCGCGCGCTCACCCGCCTCCTCGCGCCCGCAGTCACTCGGTCCTGGCCTTAGCCAAATATCGATTAATCTCACAAGCCTGGAGTCGTTCTCCCCATCCTCTCAATGTTCATGAAGTCAGTGACTAGATATCTTCTGTGGATACGACCCCATTTCCCATTTACTGACAGTCTTTAGGGTGAGAATTTGTTTACTCCTCCTCCTCCTCATTGTTTCCCCTTAGTATCAGGGAAGAAATACCCCAGCTCTGTTCTTCGTCCTATCCCCTCCCACTCCCCTCTAGACCTTACTCCCTCAAATACCTCATTCTGTCGCCAACATTTCCAATCTTTCTCCCCTATGTTTTTTTAAAAGATTTCTCCATAGAATCATAGATAAACATTTCAGAGCCAGAAGGAAACAGCCCTTGGAAAAGAAACAGAGAAGCTATGACTTGGTAATGTCACAGTAGTCTCTAGTAGTAGGGCTGGAATGAGAATTTACATCTCCTGACTCCCTAGTCCATTTCCCCCCCAATCACCACACTATAGTGCCGGGCTTATTTAAGCTTGGAAACCCTGGAGATAAAGCCAGCAGTTGGAGACTATTATAAACTCAGGTGACAGCAGTGGAAGTGAGAATATAAAGGAACACATGGGAGACACCAAAAATTCATATTGATTTCCTATTAGTCTGTTTTATCATTCCCAAACAAACATCCAACAGTTACTGTTACAAACCTCCACCTTCCATTCCCTTGGTTTCATTCCCACCCCCCCCAATCTGCTGTGTTACCTTGTTGAGAAAAAATTTATTATATCTCATCATGAATGAGATCTCTTATGACACACCTAATGCAAAATTTCTCTTTTTTTCTTGCCTCTTTTCCTTGCTCTTCAGGCTCATTTGCAGAGCTATCTCATTTTAAAGGTTAATAATTCTTCCACCTGTGCCTTTCAGAGTATACCTAACTCATCTCAGGACCTTTGCTGTCTCCAGGGCCTTCAGTTTCCCTACTCGATGCTTTCCTGCCCCTTATCTTCAAGAACATGCTCTGGTTTTCTCATTTTTGAAAGTGGTTATCTAACCTAATAGATGGAGGTTGGGGTTTAGAGTTTAGGGCCTTAATTGGAATGCCAGCTCTGTCCTGTCTGACCTCGGGCAAGTCACTTAATTTCCCTGAGCCTCAGTTTTCTCGTCTGTAAAATGACTAGGTTGGAACAAAGTCACTTAAACTCTTAGCTTCAGTTCTTCAAGGGTTGTTGTGAAGATCAAATCAGATAATATATGCAAAATACTTTGCAAACAAGTACTATGTATATGTCACTTATTATAGGAAAAGACCTGTATGTTACCCTGGTAGACCCTCTATTCATTCTTTCACTGCCAAATTTCTCACATGAGCACTTTATACTCAGTGCCTCTACTTTGCAACCTATTCTCAACTTCCAGAAATATGATTCCTATACCTACCACTCAAAGAAACTGCTCCTTCTTCAAGGTCACCAGTGGTGTGTTGATTGCAAAATCAATTTTCAGCCTCCTTGGTAGGATTTGACATCCCTTCCAGTGTGATTCCAGCATACTATTTCCAGATTAATCTTCCCCAACAGTCTCTGCTCCCTTTATCATTCTTCTGTTGGAAGGACAGTTGCAACAGTTTCAGCCTCATCTATTCAAATGAGTTTGTCAAGGCTGAAAAAATGGGAAATGGAAAAAGGCAAAGATGTTGACCATATCACTCATTCCTACAAAATCATACATAATGTAAAGCAACAGCCACAGTAAGGAGGCCAAAAGAAGACAGAAACAGCCTGGATCAGAAAATATTTGATCTCTTTGCCAAGAAGAGAAGATGTAACAGATAAGAGCAAAAATGATTTAAAATACAAACTCATTTGTTAAACGCTGAAGAAGATGGAATATTACAAGAATTATCTCATAAAACAGCAAAAAGTAGTGAAAAGGAAAAATGCCACAGAAAGCTTGACATGGAAACTGAGTGACATAAACTCAAAAGCATTCATAGGTTAAACAGGTAGGAATTGGATGCTTGGAATGGAAATGGAACAGATTAGAATAAATTAATCAACGTTCCTCCAACCACCTATTTTCATCATCATCAGTGACAGAGCAACCATCACATTTGGATCCTAACACTATATGGGAGAACTGATGTGATGTTTAGGCAGACAGAAAGGTATACATCACAGAAATCCATGATGGAAGTAACACAATCTTCAAATCAATCGGAGGATCATTTTATAAGATATCCAAGTGAGGGGAAGGTACAAAACAGGGGAAATTATGGATATTATTACCCAAAAAAGGTGATTGAGAGTCTGTCAAAGCTACTAATCCATATGACTACATTCTCATTTTGGGGGAGGAAGGGTAAACATTCTCATTTTTATAAAATCTGAGAGTGATACGCATGTCTACTGGGTACCCTTGAAGAAAAGGAGAAGGAGATGATAGTCTTGTCTCTAAGGGAAACCACATCTTTGGAGTTACATGATTGAATACTGCAGAAGATACAAGATTTGCTATGTTAGTTAATTACTTCTCCCACTCCTACAAAATAGGTATTTGACTCAATAGAAGATAATTCTGTCTTAAAGTTTCGCCTCCAACAAGTAGAGTCTCAGTCATGCATTAAGATCATGCAGTTTTCCGATAAATGTGACCACAGGGATAACTGCTCATTCACTCTCTGATTATTAACAAAAATCAAGCTAGGCTTAAGACAGTGAGTTTATGTCCTGGGATGCATCACTTATGTACCTTATATGGTTCCTATCCTTGGTAACAAAGTTTCAGACCATAAAATATGTTTTGGAGCACATGTTAAGAGATTCATATGCTTCTTTGGTATTACCACTTTGGTAAAAACATGGTTTCGAGGCTTTGGATACTTCCCCCTGCTATAGGAGCGTCTCTGCCTTTGTGTCTGTGAACTGACTAAATTTGGAAGATCAAAGGTAGGGTGCTGCTGTAGAGAGAACAAAGATAAGGAGATCTGAATTCTGGTTTGGTTTTGCCTTTCTGTTAACTTGGGGAAGTCAGATAACCTCTCTAAAACTCAGTCTTCTAAGTTATAAGATCATAGGTTTGAACAAGAGGATCTCTAAGATCCCTTCTAATCCTGATACTAGTTTATCATTCTCTAACACGAACTTTGTATTTCAGCTCAGGGCCTCTCTCGTGTCCACTTTAAATCTGGTTTTTATTCCCACCACTTTTCTGAAGTGTACTAATAATTAAAACCAATGGCCTTTTCTCAGTCCTCATCCTCTTTTACCACTGTGCAGTATGACTCTGTTGACCATCTCCTTCTTTCTAACACTCTTCCCATGGATTCCAAGACTTGCAAGGCTTGCTTCCTCTCTCACTGTTCTCTTTTGCACTCTTTTCCTTTCCTGCCCCATAAATACAGGCATTTGCCAAAGCTTTGATCTTGCCTTTTTTTTCCCCTTCATACTTCCCCTTCATGATCATGTCCATTCCTATATCTATTACTTTTATGTTGATGACTTTCAAATCTTTATCTCTAGGCCTAATCTTAAGTCCCAAAGTCTTATCTTTGACAACTCTCGCAGTTGATAATTTCCTCCTTGGTCCAGTGGGCACCTTAGACACTCAACACAGTTGAATCAGAAGTCTTCCACTCCCCTGTGCTCTCCAAACCATGTCCTCAACATGACTTTCCTTTTGCTGTCAATGGTACTATCACTCTTAAACATTCAAGCTTGAAACTGTCTTGAAACTGCGTCATCTTTGACTCCTGTCTTTCATGTCCTATCCCACACCAGCCAAACAGTTGGAAAGCCATAGCTACCAATTCTTCTATTGTGGTTTTTCCATTTGTTCCTTATAACTGAATTTCCACTAGGCTAGGCAATGTCATCATTACCAATCACCTGAACCACTAGTATACTGTCCTAACTGGTCTTGATGTGACTGGTCTTTACATTGTTCAGTGTATCCTGTGCACAGAAACAAAATTATCATTCCAATATCACTAAATTCCAAACATGTGGCTGGGCCATAGTTCGCCCCAACCTACCTTTACAAGTGTTTGCTCTTGATGCCCTACTTGAAGCTGTTGTCCCATTATATGTTGTTTCAGTCTCCCAATTCTTCACCACCCCAAGCCTTCTCTAACCGAAACCCCTTGATAGCTTGCTAATCCTTACTTCCCAAAATTTATCCCTGATTCCAGAACTATTGTCTGCTCTGATGTTTGTTATCTGAATTATGCCAACACTGGACTGTTCATTTGGTCCTGGACCTCTAGTGTTGCCGTAACCACTTTTCTGGGCCTTTACTCAGAACCTTTTGACTACTGTATCTAACCCTTAACCTGACCACCCAGCTATGGCTCATCTTTCCCAGCCCCAGTTCCTCCTCATGCTTCCTCATTTCATTGTGTATGTTTTCTCAGTGCTGCCAATGACTTTGTTCATATAGTGGATACTTAAAGAGGAGATGAACAGCAGGCTGGACTAGACTGTACTATAGTTACTGTATGGCTTCATTAAAATTTAAGCTATTTCATAACTTCTATTTGTATGAATGAATTTTTTACAAAGTTTAATTTGGATTTTTTTACAGGTACATTTCTCCCCCCTTCTAAACAAATATGGAATTATGCCCCAAAGGAGGCATGAGGAACTGGTTTAGGTCCCAAGTCTCACTTGGTTACTCCCTTCCATGCCCTTCAGAGCCTACCTCTAGCACTTTGACCACGCTTAGACCTTCAGCTCCTCTCCAATCACTTCTCCCCCATCCCCAGTGAAGTAGGTCATCCACACTCCTCAAAGATGTCTGGGTAGTGCCGGAATAGCACAGGAGGGTCACGGTCACCCCGAACAGGGGCAAGTGGCACAGCCCGTATCCCAGGCCGACGACCCCTCCGTCCCCCAGAGCAAGATCGATGGATCCACTGATGGGCTTCAACAGCAAACTTCCGCTTGAAGCGCATTCCACACTCAGGACAAGGAAAGGGCCGTTCACCAGAGTGCATTCGCCTGTGACTGACCAGCAGGGAGGGATAGGTGAAGCGGCGTCCACAATCAGGACACGCATGGCGCCGCTGGCTAGCCTGAGTGTCCAAGTTGGGTTTTGGGATAGGGGGCTGAGGCAAAGTCTTGTTGAAGTCAGCCTTGGATGGTGGTTCCAAGGATCCATTGTGTGTTGAGTCTTTGTTGAGTGCTGAGTGATGTGTGTTGAGTTTGATGCCAGGTTCAAGTAGTTGGCCTCTCATGTGCATGTCCAAAGGGTCCCTGGCTTGGGGCTCTTCTCTCTTCCACTTCTCCTTGTTTATGTTCCAGTTTCCTGCTGAGAGATAAGGAGAATACAAAGCTCAGAACCTAGCCTCTTCTATTCCACAGAGTTTATTCCTGATCTGATGACAGACAGAACTGCCTTTCTGTGAACATCCTCATATTCCTGAGTCAGGACTTGCCTAACCTGGGATGCAATAGTTGAAAGGAGAATCTGTAACTGGCATTCTGGCTTTGGAGATGGGATAGCCTCATTATGGCTGTGTCAGAACACCTCTGACCCCAAAGAAACAATTAAGGGAGAGATATGCACCGTCTGGTCTGTGACCTCTTTCTTGGAAGTTAAAACATGCTATTTCACCATCCATCTAGTAAGGCTTGAAACACAGCCCACCAATTTTGGAACATGTCCAAAACTGACCTCTTACCCTTAGGAAGGCCATCTCTTCTTTCCATCTTCCCTATTTCCGCCTAGAGTAGATACTGGCTTGAAAAGTCAATATTTTTAATCCACCACTCCCATTTATCCCAAGCATTCCTTGGGTTACATCAGGTACTCATTTTTCAATATGTGCTACTTGAGTCTCAGCAGTGCTTGTAAGCCACTCGTAGGCAATTCTCCTGGGAGACAACTGGGGCCTTCAGTCATTCGCTCCTTCCTTACCTCTGCAAGCTGTCCTCACATCTCCCCCCCACTCCTCCGGATCCTGGGCGGCCGGACCCCAGGCCTCGGTTTCTTGTTCCATCCAGGAGATGAGAGCAGGTTTGGGGCCTGGGAATCCTGGGGAGGAAACAGAAGGCGTCTAAGAATGGGGCCAGATGCAGTGGCAGACCACAAGCAGGGCAGCAGTGCCGGCCCACATGCGGACGAAGCCGGCCCGAGGGCAGCTCGGGGAGCCCGGCCGGACACTCACCCAGCGCGCCCAGGTGGCCGTAGGTCTCCCGCATGACGTCCCTGTACAAGGCCCTCTGCGCGGGGCGCAGCCGTCCCCACTCCTCTGGGGAGAAGTACACGGCCACATCGGCGAAGCTCACGGGGCCCCTGGCCCCCGGCCCTGGCCAGCTCATCGTCCTCTGGGCGGCCTCTACTAGCTTAGCCCGGTGCTCTCCCAGATAGCAGGCGCTAGCTCCCTCCCAGCTCCGAGGAGTGCGCGAGCGTGTGCGCGTGCGCGACCTGCCGCCCGCCTCAGCCCCACACCGTCCCGAGCTCGTGCCTCCGCCTTCGGGAGTCACGAGGCCAGGTGCGAGATCCGAGAGCCTCCTCCCAGGCAGAGGGAGAGAGGGGACCAAAACTGAACCGAGGCCGGGAGAAGTGCTCTCGGGGGCTGCAGCCACCGGAAGCCGAATAGTGCCCGTAATGCACATGGCGTCACGCTGACTTCACTCCCCCCCACACACCTGCAGGAGCCCTCTTCCAAGATGGCCGCCATCACAGCTTCTGGGCGCTTTCCCCTTAATCTTTCGGTACGATGGCTGCGGAGATTTGGATGGGAATATTTGAACCCAACCTATCTTGGAAAAAATACAAAGTATCATCCTGACCAAAACTACCTACCCCTAACCCACAACAGTGTGCTGTATGATTTTATATATATATTTCTAAAATACAACGATAGATGCCTAATAAATGCTTGAAATGAATAAAAGGGGAATACCAAAATCCCAGCTTTGGAATTTGCTACAAGGTACTAATGAGGGTTTTAGGGAAATGAAATTCAAAGAAATATGCCAGTCGTGTAGAAAAGATACAGGGGTGCCTCTGAGAAGGGAAGGATGCATAAAGATGAGGAAGGTATACCCAAAGAAAAATGGCTTAGAGGAAATGCTTACTCCGTGTAAGATAACAAACTCAGAACAGCAACGAACCTTAAGGGTCATTCAGTCCAAGCCTCATATTTTTCGGATGAAGAAACTGAGGCCCAGATAGATTAAAATACCTGACCAAGGCCACACGGATAGGTGCCAAAGTGGGGATTCAATCCCAGGTAATTCCAAATCCTCTGTATACCTACCAGTGAAATACGGCCAATAGAAAGCAAATTTATAAAGAATCTGAGATCAGACAAATCCATGGCTTAGGGAACTAGGCCTTAAGATAAATATGTAAACAAACTGCATGAGCTGGACAGAACTTTGCATAACATGGAAATGCCAAGGAAAATTATTGAAGCTCAGTTTGTTTTCAGAGGACTTGGTAGGACACCTTTTCACTGTGAGTTACGGGTCGTGAATTAAGACCCTATCACTTATTTAAAATAATTCTTTGTGCAAACAGGTAACACGTTTTTTGTCAAAAGAAACAAAGTAGAGTCTGATATCTCACATAGACAAAATAATTTAATAGTCAAGACAATTATGAATAAGGCACTTGTAAGGGACAGTCTAGAAAGCTTTTTACAAAACTGAGCAAGAACAGAGAAACATCTGTATAAAAGGTCAGAAGGATAAGCAAAAAAATAGAAAGACATTTACATGTTCCTGCCATGAGAAAGAAGGTCAGTATAGTGATGGAACAATTGTGTTACAAATTAAAAGAGCCTTGTGAGTTGCTTGTAACTGGAGATAAAAGTAAAGAGATCTATTAATAAAGAAGTCTGTTTCCATGGCAGGCCTGAATCAGCTAAAATTCTATTTGTCCCAGTGGAAGAAAATGTACTACAGTGAGGATGACAGTACTATATAGCTACCCTACACATGGGGCACCCCACTCTCCAGTCTTAATACTCAGGTCTTGAACTGAAGGAAAACAGAGGGACAGAAATTAGGGTAAAAAGAAGAGACTGTGTCTTAGGCCTCTGCCATAAAACAATGGACATTTTCCCTTTTAGAGTAACATAAATTTGGTAGATAATATATGGAGCATCTTTTCTAGAATGGGACATGGATACCAGCAGGACACACACTGGTAGGAACCAGAGATTTTATATTTAAACTTCAAGGTGACTAGCCAGCTGCCTAGAGTCATTCTATTTTATGGGGTGAGTGAATGGATCATCTAAAAGGCTCACTGGCCACAAAGCATTCCCATGTCTGAGTGGGACACCACCTATCAAGTTTTTCATAAGGCAATGCCTTATAAAAGAAAATCAAACCTGTGTCCAGTTTGGGCAAAATTGTAGGGGAGGGAGTGTTGCCTTCTTGTCTTGTTCTTACATTGAGAGCCCCAGGGGTAGAACCTACACTTAACTCCCTTCTTGATTCCAAAACACTTTGGCACTGAGCAGGGTACCAAGAAAGGCTGGAGTCTCAACCTTAATCCAGCAGAACTAGATCTGTTCTAGTAGCTGTCCAACTTAAACTCCTAATGGAGATCATCAGTCCTTTAACCCATCTCCTTCTGTTTCTGTAACACTCCTCACAGCAGTTCTACCAGACCTCTTGACTCTTTAAACCCTGAGCTCTTATCACTCCCTCCCAACACACAGATGGCCTGACCTCGTACTTCATAGAGAAGATACAAGCTAGTGGTGTGAGCTTCTTCAGGTCTCTCCCAGATTCCTTCACCCACATTCCTGGAATATATCTGGGTAATAACGGCAGTGCACAGGGGGATCCCGGGCACCCTGGTCAGAGGATTCTGCTGCAGACTGTCTTGCTGATGGCATGCTTCTCCAAATCTCAGCGCCAGAACGATGGATCCACTGGTGTGCTTCAAGGGCATACTTCCGTTTGAACCGCTTGCCACACTCAGGGCAGGGAAAGGGCCTTTCATCAGAGTGAATACGTCTGTGGCTTATCAGTAAGGAAGAATATGTGAATCGGCAGCCACACTCAGCACAGGAGTATGGTTTCTCCCCTGTGTGAGTACGACGATGAGTAGCCAGTTGGTAGGGATAGACAAATTGGCGCTTGCAGTCAGGACAGGAATAGGGCTTCTCACCTGTGTGTGTGCGCCGCTGATGGATGACTAGGGACCTTCTCTGTCTGAAACAGCGTCCACATTCAGGGCACGTGTAGGGTTTCTCACCTGTGTGGATTAGCTGGTGTTGGACTAGGTACTTCTTTTGGAAGAATCGTGCCTCACACTGATTACAAGGATAGGGACGCTCCCCAGAATGCATTCGCTGGTGGCTGACTAGTAAATAGGGATAAGCAAAGTGGCGTCCACAATCAGGACACACATATGACCGCTTTCGGTTGGGATTACATTGGTGGAGTGCAGTGATAGAGTGTTTATGCAAAGTCTTGCCACAGTCAGTGCAAGAAGAGTTTCCTTGTTCTTGGTGTGGGCCTGGCAGAGCCTCAACTGACTGACTGTTCTTCCTATGTGCTTCATCAGCTTCCTGGACTCCAGGCCCTTCTCTCTTCCACTTCTCAGCCCTGTTCCTGACTCCTATTAGAAAAATGAAAAAAAAAAAAGAGAGAGATTCTAGAACTCAGAACTGTCAGACTTTGTCCAATAACTCCTATGTCAAATACGGCAAGAAACAGATCTCCTAAGTGAGACATGGGGAATGGCTGAATTCATAGAAACTGACATGGGACTCATATACTCAGGATAATTAAAGGGGATTAACTATCTGTAACTAGTTTGATGTCTGCAGGTGTGCTTGTGGATTTTTTAGGAATAACCCAGTCACCATATAGCCAGTCTAGGTTCAGAAAGACTACAGAGGTTCAGCTGTAACACAAGTGAATATTATAATGTTAATTGCTTAGTCAATTAATATTCATATTAATTGTAAAGTTTCTAAATTGATAAAAGTGTTAGGATTCATTGTGGCCCTGCATTCAGGAAAAGAAATAGCTCATCAAACCTTAATCTAATCATTCATTGACACACTAGTATAACACACAATAACTATTAGGAAGTAGGAAGATAATTGAGAATGGCAGGCCTTAGGAACCTTAAGGGGCAGCTTGGGGGCTCAGTGACTAGAGTGCTGAACCTCGAGTGAGAAAGACTCATCTCCTGAGTTCAAATTCAGTCTCAGACGCTTACTAGCTGTGTGACCCTGAGAAAGTCACTTAGCCTTGTTAGCCTCAATTCCTCATCTGTAAAATGAGCTGGAAAGAAAATGGCAAACCCCATATGAGGTCAAGGAAGAGTTGGACATGACTGAACAAGGATACCTGAATTATTTTAGGGTCAAAGGACAGAGGCTGAGTTCTGCACAACCCAGAAATAAGGAATTTATTCTCCCCAAACTAGCTAGTGTGGAGAAGAAACACTACTCTGGTGCTGGAAGACTTCAAAGGCTCTTAAATAGGACAACTCTGGGTGGGAGATAGGCTTTTCTAGGGTTTACCAAGGAAAAACATGCGTGTATTAGGCTAGATTATCATCTCACCTCCTATATTTACCGTTCCTCTTTCCCCCGCCTCCTCGGGGTCCTGGGCATCCGGACCCCAGACCTCTGTCTCTTCATCCATCCAGCAGATGAGGGCAGGTTTGGGGCCTGGGAAACCTAGAACGTGAACAGAAAGTTGGGAGCTCACAGTGGAGGGCAAGACACACCCAATGGGCGTGCGCCCCTGCCCCGCCCCCGCCCCAGCCCGCCCCGGCCCGCCCCGTCCGCTCCCCTCACCCAGCGCGCCCAGGTGGCCGTAGGTCTCCCGCATGACGTCCCTGTACAGGGCCCTCTGCGCGGGGCGCAGCCGTCCCCACTCCTCCGCGGAGAAGTACACGGCCACATCGGCGAAGCTCATGGGGCCCCTCGCCTCCCGCCCGGGCCCGCTCATGGTCCGCCCCGCTAGAGTCCAAAGAAGCCGTTCGGGGTTGGTCACATGAGCACTGCCAGGATGTGAGGCGCCGGAAGTCGTTTAGTGCCCTCAGAAAACTTGGCTGCGCACTGGCTTCATCGCCCCTACTTAAGACTAAGGTTCTCCCTAGTCTCTGAAGAGCGCCCTTTTCCAACATGGCCGCGGACCTGCTTCAATGCCCTGAAATTCCCTTCTTCAGCCTTTAAGTACGGTGGCCGTAGCTCACCACGTGCTGTTTGGATCGGAGGAGTTGGCTGGCGTGCGTTTCAGGACGTTTTTAGGCTCCGCGAGTGCAGGGCTGCAATAATTATTTGGAATAATATTGGCACCTTCCGTTTGAAAGCGGGAGGTAGGAGTACTGCAGGAGAAGCGAATAGTGGGTCATTAAACCTTCTCGAAAAACGGTCATTACGGAGTGACGAAGGAGGCGGTGGCGGCAGCGGAGGCGGCCGGGCGTGGTTTCCATGGTGACCCGGTTAGAAACTGCTGCCTGTGTTGTTCCTCGGCCAGGGGCAGCGTCCTGGTGACAGAGCAAATTGGACAAGGCGGTCTGACACCTGGGCCTAGGCAGGTCCTGACTGCCCCCTGCCCTGCTCTCCCCATAGCCAGTGACCCAGTGCCAGCCCTGCTGCGGGCCCAGGAGATGGGCCAAATGGTGGTGGGCCGAACCCGGAGGCTGCTGCTGCAGTTGGGAGTTTTGTTCTGCACCATCCTTCTCCTCCTCTGGGCATCTGCCTTCCTTTATGGCTCCTTCTACTATTCCTACATGCCCACGGTCAGCCACCGCAGCCCAGTCCACATTTCTTACAAGACAGACTGTGGTTCTGCCGGGCCTGTTCTCTGCTCCTTTCCTGTTGCCAATGTCTCCCTGGTTCAAGGTGGACGTGATCGGGTGTTGATGTATGGACAGCCATATCGAATTTCCCTGGAGCTGGAGATGCCCGAGTCCCCGGTGAACCAGGAGTTGGGCATGTTCATGGTCACCATTGCTTGCTACACCCGAGGCGGACGAGTCATTTCCTCTTCTGCCCGTTCCGCCATGCTGCATTACCGTTCAACGCTGCTGCGACTGCTGGACACCATCGTCTTCTCGGGCCTCTTCTTATCTGGCTTTGCAGAGCAAAAGCAGCTCCTGGAGGTGGAATTGTATGCAGACTACAGGGAGGACGCGTACACGCCAACCACAGGTGCAGTGATTGAGATCCACAGCAACCGCATTCAGCTCTATGGGGCCCAGCTCCAGATCCACGCCCACTTTACGGGGCTCCGGTATCTGCTCTACAATTTCCCCATCACCTCGGCTGTCATTGGCATTGCCAGCAACTTGATCTTCTTCAGCGTCATTGTGCTCTTAAGCTACTTGCAGTGGCTGTGGGGCAGCGTCTGGTCCAGGCACCGCCACACCTTGCGGGTGATGAACCGAGATAAGGATGGTTCCCGGGCCAAAGGTCAGAGAAGGGTCCCCGCCAGACGGCCAGGGCTGGGGCCAAGAGGCCGAGCCGAGCGAACCAGGTTCCCAGAGAAATCGCAGGATGACGAAGCTGTCCTGGGGCCAGGGAGTCAGCCACCAGAGGAGAAAGGGCCTGAAGTGCAGCCTCTTAACGAAGAGGGGCCAGATCAGGAGACCAGTGATGGTTCTGGCTCCTGGGAGGACGCAGCCCTGCTGACCGAGGCCAACCTGCCCTCCCCCTGCCCAGAAACCCTGGGCAGCGCAGACCCTTCGGGCAACGTGGAGAGCCCTTCGGGCACCCCTTGCCTCCACTCAGCCTGCTCCAGCTCTTGAGGGGGATGCTGTGGTCCTCACACATCCATCACTTTCCTTTGCCCTCCATCCTTCCCTTTTTTGTCCACAGTAAACTTTTTTCACACCAAAAAAAAAAAAAGAAGAAAAAAAACGGACATTACCTTATTTTATTTTTTTTAGGCAATTGGGGTTAAGTGACTTGCCCAGGGTCACACAGCTAGTGTGTCAAGTGTTTGGTCTGAGGCCGGACTTGAACTCAGGTCCTCCTGACTTCAGGGCCAGTGCTCTATCCACTGTGCCACCTTTTGTTTCTACTGGCTTAATTTCTTTTTTTTTAAATTTATTTTGATTTATCAATAATCACTTCCATATGCTTTTGAGTTTAAAATTTTTCTCCCCCTTCCTCCCCACCACCCTCCCCAGGACGGAGCATAATCTGATATAGGCTATACATTTACATTCATATTAAACATATTTTCACATTAGTGATGTTGTAAGTAGAAATTAAAATCAGTAGGAGGAACCATCAGAGGAAACAAAACTCAACAGAAGAGAAAAAATTAGCAATTCGGCTTCCATAGTTCTTTCTTTGGATGTGGATAGCATTTTCCATCACAAGGCCTCTGGAGATGTCTTAGATCCTTGTATTGCCAGGAAGGGTTAAGTTTACTAATATTAGTCATCATGCAACGTGGCTGTTATTGTGTACAATTGTGCTCTGCTGTGTATTGTGTTCTGCTCACTTCACTCAGCTCTGGCTTAACTTCTTGTTGGAGAATGGTAAATTATGATTCTTAAACTATTTTACGCCCAGGATGAAGCAGGTCCACTGCAGATTTCCTTTTAGATGTAATGCATTGTCCATGCTGTTGACTTTTGCAACTGCTGAGTTTGTGCAGCTGAGTTTAATCAGTTCTTCATCACCAAAAAAGGAAAAAAAAATCATTTTTATGGTGGTTGTTCCAGTGTGAGTTAAACTGATGTGAAAATCATTGGCGTGCATTATTTCATTGCTTTGAGCTCAGATCACATGTTTAAAAAAAACCTTGTATTTGCAACTTGAGTGCAGTTTTTATGCTTAAGATATATTTTCAGGGTGTTATGTATCTTGAAACCTCTGTAGCTTGATGCTTCCTACATTTGTAGCAAAATACAGTGAGCACCTATATGACTGGGTTCCTTTGTGTGTTATTGTAACTGTCTTTTTTCACTCCATGTCTCTAAATGATGTTTTGAATCTGTGGCTGTACTTTAACATTGTTTTAGTCTGATAATGAACCTTGTGAGCTTTTTGACTAGTCATGAACAACAATAAATATATATTGCTGGCAAAAAAAAAAACAAAAACGGACATTACTTTGACCCTGAGCGCTCTGAGTTCAAGGCTTGCTTGTAGGGTGTTTGCACTCCGTTCCTTCGCCATCCCTGCCCATGCCCTGCCTTTCACACTAGCCTTGTGTCTGCCCCGCTTCCAACATGGCTTCCCGTGTGTTTTGCACAAATTAGGGGCAGCAAGGTGCCTCTGTGAGTAGAGCCCCTGGCCTAAAGTCAGGAAGAACTGAGTTCAAATCCAGACTCGGACCCTTTCTAGCCATGTGACCCTGGAAAATCACTGTACTTTTTGCCTGCCTCAGTCTCCTCATTTACAAAATGGGGATAATAGCACCCCCCTCCCAGGGTTGTTGTAAAACTAAAATGAGATATGGCAACTATTTCTAAGTTCATTCTTAAAAAGACACACAAAATTAGGCTGCATAATTTTTCTCAAAGCTTGCCAAACCTACATATAGAGATAGGCATGGGAGCTCACTATGCAAATGAGCCAAGACAGACAAAGCCGACCTTATAACTTCAGAGCAATTCCCTCTCACCCCTCCCTCCCTGGCTCAGGATGCCCATGTCAGCCAAAATTATAGTCTCCGTATGTGCTAACTATGATATGAAGGAGGAATTTCTTAAGTGGCGAGATTGTAAATACAGTAAGATAAGAGAATGTCAAAGTGTCCATTGAAATTATAGATCCAGGGGGCAGCTAGGTGGTGCAGTGGAGCGAGCACCAGGCCTGGAGTCAGGAGAACCTGAGTTCAAATGTGACCTCAGACACATAACACTCGCTTAGTTGTGTGACTCTGGGCAAGTCACTTAACCCCAATTGCCTCACACACACACACAAAAAAATTATACAACCAGGATGCAAACATCCTGTTTCTTTTACCATTAACAGGACATAACATAGCATATGTCCATAAAATACCATGAGAAGAGAAGTCCCACTATTCAAGAAAGTGTCGGGTCCTAGGCACCTTGTCCTTAGTAGTCATAAACAGAAGAATACTCCTGGTCAGCTTCATCTGGCCTTGTAGTTGTTGACACAGGAAGGGGCATTCTTAGTTCACTCTGAGAGTAAAGCTAGGCATGTCTGTTATGCCAGAGCATGCAAAGCATTATGGTAAGTTAAGCCCAGAGTGGGCCAAAATGTCTCTCCTGATTGGCCAATCCAGGTTTCAGGCCTTTCTCAGATCTTGGCCATTCAAAATGGTTTGGGGAGAGGTCTATAGATAATAATCCTAAACCACTTAGCACAGTGACTAGCATATGGTAAACACTGTATAAATGTTAGCTTCTACCACTATTATTTTTTTTTGTTTGTTTTTCTTTAGACAATTGGGGTTAAGTGACTTGCCCAGGGTCACACAGCTAGTAAGTGTCAAGTGTTTGGTCTGAGGCCAGATTTGAACTCAGGTACTCCTGACTTCAGGGCCGGTGCTCTATCCACTGTGCCACCTAGCTGCCCCCTTCTACCACTATTATTAATATTAACATGTGCACATCCCCCTTTCCCCATAGAACACAAGCTTCTTGAGGGCAAGTCTCTCCCCTTTCCAAATCCTCTCCACAGACAAAATGATATTCCCAAAGCCCATATCATTCCTCTACTCAAGAAGTTTTAGTTTATGTCTCTTACCCCTAGAATCAGTGCAAACTTCCTTGTTTGGCCTTTAAAGCCCTTCACATCCTGGTCCCAGAATGGAAGGATCCTGAAAAATAATTGAATTAATAAGTTAACAAGCTTTAAAAAAAAATATTGGGATTGCTTATATGTATTCCAATTCAGACATCTCAGTCTAGGTATCTCAAACTTAAAAGGTCTATAATAGATATTCATCATCTTTTCCCCCAAAATCCCTTCCCTTCTGCAACCGCCCTATCCACCATTCTTTTGTTCACTCTGATTTGTATCCTAGTAATCATCCTCAGCTCTTCACCCTCTTTGGATCCCTTATGTCCAATTAGTTGCCATGTTTCACACAGATTCATTCGCCCTTTCATATCCATCCTCTTCTCACACCACTCTACCACCCCCATCTAGGATTTTACAAACTCTTTGCTGGACTATTGCAGTATCTCCTAACTGGTTTTCTTGTGTCTATGCTCCATAGGTTACCACAGTGAAGGATACCTTGGTGGAGGGGGGGGGCACTTGTATGATGTGGGGGTAGTAGCCTCTGGTGCAACTGTGGGGCATTAAATAAGAATAAGGGGGCAGTGGAAGCACAAGGAAAGTAGAGAAGATAAGAAAACTCTGAAAAACCGTTAGTACACGTTTCATCTGTTGTATGACAGAGTTAAAGTTATAGCCAATCAGTCGTCAAGTCTGATGATAGGTCTTAACAAGTAAGTGTTGGCAGGCGAGCATGTCTCGAATCATCAGGAAGTCCATCATGTGTCAGCAGGAATATGGGTGTGTAATGACTTGTTTACAATACAGTACTATACAGTTATATGGCACAATATTGATACTACACAGTTACAAGACATAATATTGCATGATCAAAATTTCAATGCAGGGGAAAAAACACAAATTTACAATAAATTATTAAATTTAAGATGTGTCATTTAAAAATATTTTATATTTTTTTGAAATGATGCAAATTTTTAAAAAACGTTAAAGGGTTAAAGAAATAGATTTGCAGGGGGGCACTGAGTAATTCTTTTTAAAAGGGGCAGTAGGCCAAATAAGTTTGGGAACCTGGTGTAACCGCTCTATCCCAACTTCCCAATAGCTATGAGATTGACGGTCCTAAAGCATGGGTCTGACCATATCAACCCCCCAAAATCAAGAAGATTCACTGGTTTCATGTTCCTTCTGAAATATAAGGCAACCATCAAAGACTAATTACAAGAGACTCAATAAGGACAGACTGTTCACTTTTTATATGAGGAAATATAAATTGTATGTCTAAGATTGTCAGTAATTGGGTAGTTCAAAAGAAAGATTAGGGTAGAGTTAAATATGATATGATACTAAAAACCAAATGGTCTAGGAAAAGATGAAAAGAGTAATTATCTTATACAAATGAGGTGCCAGAGGAAGAGCTGACAGAGGAAGTAGAAATAAAAGGCTTAGGGTGTAGGGAGGGGAGAAACGATAAAGGAGGGATTTTAGGGTGAGAGGAAGAGGATAAGAGAGGGATCTTTGCTGGAGGGTGGTAAGGCAAGGTATCTGGTAAAGTAGAGGAATCAGGAAGGATAGGAAATAGGAGATACACACAAACATAGAATAAAGATGAGGAGTAGAATTTATTAGGAAAAAAAAGCAGGGGTAGTAATCATGATCTCAGAAAAAGTTAAAGCTAAAATAGATTTAATCATATAACAAATGTTTCCGATAAGGGTTTCATTTCTAAAATATATAGAGAATTAAGTCAAATTTATAAGAATATAAGTTATTCCCAATTGATAAATGGTTAAAGGATATGAACAGGCAGTTCTCAGATGAAGAAATTAAAGCCATCCATAGTCATGTGAAAAAATGCTCTAAATCACTATTGATTAGAGAAATGCAAATCAAAACAACTCTGAGATACAATATCACACCTATCAGATTGGCCAACATGAGAAAACAGGAAAATAATAAATGTTGGAGAAGATGTGGGAAAATTGGAACACTAATGCATTATTAGTAGAGTTGTGAAATGATCTAACCATTTTGGAGAACAATTTGGAACCATGCCCAAAGGGCTATAAAAATGTGCATACCTTTTGACTCAGCAATAGCATTTCTAGGGCTGTATCCCAAAGAGATCACAGAAATGGGGAAAAGACCCGCAAGTACAAAAATATTTATAGCAGCTCTTTTTGTAGTGGCAAAGAATTGGAAATTGAGAGGATGTGCATCAATTGGAGAATGGCTGAACAAGTTGTGGTATATGAATGTAATGGAATACTATTGTGCTATAAGAAATGATGAGCAGGCAGACTTCAGAAAAACCTGGAAAAACTTGTATGGATTGATGCTGAGTGAAGTGAGAAGAACCAGGAGAACACTGTACTCAGTAACAGCCACATAGCTCGATGACTAACTTTGATAGACTTAGCCCTTTTCAGCACTGCAAGGATCTAAGACATCTCCAGAAGTCTCATGATGGTAAATGTGTTCCACATCCAAAGAAAGAACTATGGAGTTTGAATGAAAATGGAAGAATATTATTTGCTCTTTTTTCCCTTCTGTTTAGTTTTATTTTGTTTCTTCTTTCTTGTGGTTCCTCCTATTGGTTCTAATTATTCCTTACAACATGAAAATATGTTTCATCGGAATGTATATTTATAGCCTATATCAGATTGTGTGCCATCTTGAGGAGCTAGGGGAGGAAAATTTAAAACTCAAAAGCTTATGGAAGTGAATGTTGAAAACTAAAAATAAATTAATAAAAAATAAACAAAACAAAACAAAAAAAACAAAATAGATTTAACCAGAAGAGAAAAATAGGGAAACTACACTATATGTCAGCAATATTAATCAATATTGCTGTAGACTATTTAAAATAACTAGACAGTATAAGGTTGAAATATTGCTGCGGTATAGGAAACAATGAGTTGGTGGACTTAGAAAAATAGGGAAAGACTTGGACCTATGAAGGAAGACATTATCCACCCTCAGAGAAACAGAGGACAAACAAGTATGGTATGGTGTTACATAGATGCATGTGAATGTATATATCTATATAAGAATATGATTATAGATATCTAAGTATATGTATGTGTATGTAAGTGTGTGAATCTGTGTTTTTATGTATGCATATATGTATGTGTATATGTATGTTATGTATGTCTGTATATATGTATATGCATATATACATATACCTATACACATACACAAATATATCAGAGCTTAGTTGTAGCCTTCTTGGGGGGGGAAGGAAAGGGGGAGGTTAAAGAACAAAGTAAAAAGTGCACAGCAGAGAACAAAAGAAACCTTATAAAGAAGCAAAGAAAAGATGGACAGCTTGGAACACAATGTGTCATATTTATTATATAAGCTTTCTTGAAATGGAAGTTTATCGTATAATTTGAAGGATCCTCGCTTACATTCTGCTGTGCACATGGCAATGCTATTTTCTTTTCTTATTTTCTTTTTAAGTTTTAGGATTTAAGTTTATATGTTTCTTTTTCTTTTCTTATTGTATATTTAAGTTAAATTAATAATTAAGTTAATTAAAAAATTCCAAACTCTTTCCATTTTTCCTCGTAAAATCATTCACTATTGAACTTCAACCAATTTTTCCAGACTCATCTCTCATTACTCCTCCACATGCATTTTACATTTCAGCCAAACTGGCCTCCCTGATGTACATGGCCTTCCATCTCTTGTCTCCATATCTGGAATACCTCAGTCTATTGGAATCATAGCTGCCTAGAACACTAAGCTCAAGTGCCGCCTTCTATCAAACTGTCCCCACCCTGATTGCTTTGTATTTACTTCTCTGTGTAGCAGTCAGTCAACAAGCATTTATTAAGTACCTACTATGTGTCAGGCACTGTGCAAAGCATTGGGAAAAGAGGAAAGGTAAAAGACAATCCCTGCCCCTGAGAGCTCATAATCTTTTTTTTTTTCTCGAGGCAATTGGGGTTAAGTGACTTACCCAGGGTCACACAGCTAATAAGTGTCAAGTGTCTGGTCTGAGAGCAAATTTCAACTCAGGTCCTCCAGACTCCAGGGTTGGTGCTCTAGCCACTGCGCCACCTAGCTGCCCCTAGAGCTCACAATCTTAACAGGGAAGATAACATGAGCAACTATATAGAAAGAAGATGAATATAGATAAAGATACACACAGAATATGCATGTATATATATATATATATATGTGCATACATACAGACACACAGAATAAATTGGAGATAATCTCAGAGCAAAGGAACTAAGATTAAAGAGGCTGGGTGTAACACAAGTAACAACACCAGAGTCACTCTCTGGGGTCTCTCTAGGTTGGTCCGGGACAGGAAGACAGCTTTGGAGGGGTTAAAATAAGTTTCCTTTATTCTAGTCTAGTCTTCTCAAAGGAGTTGCTGATAATGGGAGCACCAACTCCTTCAGTATCCCCTAATCACCATTCTCACAGGGGCAGGTGAGAAGAGGAAGCAGCTACCCCCATGTTTCGATGGGGTCAGTTGAGACAGGCACAGCCTTCCAGCTTATGCACTCCCCTAAATCTCCCCAAGCCTCAACGGGGGCTGGTTGAGGTAGATACACCTGCATTTCCCTATGCATTCTCAAAATCCCACAAATCCCAACTCACTGACCAGTGCTCTCTTGATTTATAGAGAGGCACACAAAGAAGGCAATTTGCCAACATTAAGCTAACAGGTTAACTTCAGCAATATCATCATGACCTAGTACATGGCAAGTGTAGTAACCATTACATCATGTCACCCCTATATCTCACTGCGCAATCACAGTAAAAGTTGTTTTCAACCACAATTTGTGGGAAATATTATCTATTTTGGCCATGGATCCTGGGAATTGTTATCTATGAAGAAATAAAAAAATTCAGCTTACTTGACACTGGGCTTCTTGCAGAAGGTGGGACTTTAGCTGAGGCTTGAAGGAAGTGGGTTGGGAGGGGTAGGGGGTAGAGATGAGGAGTGAGAGAGTTTGAGGTATGGGGGACAGCCAGTGATAATGTGTCCAGCTGAGAGATGGAGTGTAGCGTTGGAGGAACAACAAGGAAGCCAGTATCATGGATCATGGGGCATGTGTT